CACTCACTGCCCTCTTCCCCATCCACAGCCTGTTCCACCTTGGCCACCACATGCTTCTTAATGCTGGCTCCTGTGTCCTCTGACATGTCCCCACTAGGTCTGAGCATTGACTTACTTTCCAGACAACAAGATGGCCTAGGCTCACCCGCTGCATCCTCACCCCAGGACTTGGATGCCCACTCACCAATGCCCTGGTTTTTCTTTGTGAGGAACTGTGTTTGATAACTGAGTTCTGGACCTTAGAGGTGCTGTACCTACCAGGAGATATTTGATTCTAGGAAGTTTGAAGTTAATTTAGTGAATTTGTAATGACCTTGGGGCTTCTCTGAAGGGAACTGAACTGAGACAAAACAGAAAGCCTTACTTGTTGTCTTTCAATAGCTTTGGGCAACTGGACAACCCACTTTTTACTCTTATGGAAGGCTTCCTCAAGTGAGGCCTTATGTTAAAAAAACCAATGATATATTTTGCAATTTATCCACCCAACATTTTTTGTAAATTATTGTGTCTGGAATGAGTGTTCCTTTCCAGGGCCCTTGGCAGTGTTTGGTCACCAGCAGAGAGTGCTGTTGGAAGTCAGTGTCCAAGGACCACCGATGCTGCATGTCCAGCAATGCTAGGACTGATCTGCATGTCAGGGTCTATTCCTCTCCAGTCCCCAATCCCCAACCATGATTTACTGGTCAATATATATTATGCAATGGTTTCATGTGCAAATGTGGAATTTTTTGTATGCTTTGATACAGTTACCTGACTTTGGGTAAGATACCAGAAAGGTGTCATCTGGCCTGGCTTGGAAATTACAGATTCTTTCCCACACTCCTTCAAATGCTTGAGGCATAAGGATTCCATCCACTTCCATCATGCTGAACTGTAACATCTTCCTGTCCAGTTGATGAGTGTTCTCAGTCTGCGCCATTGGGAGTCTGGGACTGACAATGTCAACCCTATTGAAAGAAAACATTATGTTTCATGGCTCCCAGCATTTCCATCTTCCTGCTACTGAGTAGAATAACATGAAACATAACATTCAGAACATATTAATAAGTTACTCTCAGTCCCTTATTTGTTTAATCCTCATAGGAACCACATAAGCAACATCATTTTTGTCCTTTAGATGGGACGAGGGAGCTGAGATTGGTAAAGGTTAAGTGATGTAGTAAACAGAAATCAACCAATGATTGTTAGAGACGAGATTCACACTCCAGGTCTGCACTGTAGTTCACATCAACTCTTGGGTTAGTGGAAAAGTGATAGTAATGCATCACACCGGCTTCATACTGCTGAAAATGTTATTCTATGTAATAGAAATGAGGTTATTCTATTGAAGTCATGCCAAAGCAATCATTTTGAGGGACTTTCTAGAGTCAGTTTACTTATTGATTTTATGCAAAAATATTCAAAAAGAGGTTCATATATAGTTTTTGCTCATGAATGGGATCGTATTCCAAATATGAACCACAGTTTAACACCAAGAAAAACTCATGTGTCAGTGTCTTCGAACTAGAAAAGTGGGATGATATTGGGGTTTGTTTGAGACATTTAATGCTGCTGTAGGAGTCATCAAAGCGTAAGGTGACTGTTTCAATTATAACCTTTAATATGTAAAAGACACATGGCTGTTAATCCCCCTAAATCCACCTTCCTTTGAATACACTTATCCCCTCCTTCTTATCACTCTTTAGGGCAGTTCTGGAAGTGTTCTTTCATCAGTGTCTTTACAAAGTATGATTAAAAATGCAAAGCTGTTGCCAAATGCCACCCAGTGGAAAAGCAGCTCATACAAACGTGGCTGTGTGTCCTCACC